CCTTTGGCATAGTCGGTTTCAGTCGAGCTACGGGCACTTGATGCCTCAAGCCAAAGTCCAAGAAACATATAAGCCTCTAGAATAATCGGTTTCGATAAGACTACACACACTTGATGCCTCTAGTCAAAGTCCAAGAAACTTGCAAGCCTTTGGCATAATCGGTTTCGATCGGGCTACACGCACGTGATGCCTCTGGCCAACGTCCAATATCTTACAACCCTCTGGCATAATCGGTTTTGGTCAAGCTACGTGCGCTTGATGCCTCTGACCAAATTCTAAGCAATTTATAATCCCATGGCATAATCGGTTTCGGCCGGGCTACGTGCACTTGAAGCCTCTGACCAAAGTCCAATCAACTTATAATCATACAACGTAACTGTTTTTTGACCGGATCATGCAAAATAAAACTCTCGAACCTCCATTAAACACCAAACCGATGGGGCTCTAGACGTCAGTTATGTGGAGCTTACATGTTCCCGACTTTAAACGGTTTGGTTAGCTTAGCACTGACAAAATATCCAATATAATTTACTCAAAGATAGATGATTTGTGTCTGAGATTAAAGAGATACTTCAAATTATAAAAGCCCAAAATCGGGGCTATGAAGCAGTGTGAACTATATATTATAAATGATTAAATGGAGTCGCGGTGAAACAATCTCATGAGAGCTCGACTCTTGTTCAAAGGGAAAGTCGTTAAAAATTATCATCCTACGTTCCATCCAGGATGGTTGCACCCAAATTTGTTGTTCTAAGACTAGTCAGATCTTATTTACTCAAAATAATATGTGGGAATTCGATAATAGGTCTCGGGTTACCACAAGACTCAGAACCTATGTTGAGGATCTTTGGCGTCTCTATGCCTAGACCTTACTAGGTTATAAGATGACCATGATAGCACAAATGTGATAGAAATTAAGGCATGATTAAGGATCACTTGAAGGAAAAATAGGTAAAACAAAAGAGTCCTAGTCGGGCTCTGGTGATCTAAGCCAAAACCATAGAAACATCGATCTAAAGCCTAGACATGAAGGCTACCTATTTATGAGGTCTTTCAATTAGGTCATATATGATGAAGAACCTTTCAAACATATAAGATTGCTAAGATAGTCCAAGTTGAAGAAGCAATTGCAAAATAAACTACGAGGATAACATTTAACATACAAAACATAGTCATATTATTGGTTGTAACAAGACCCGGATACAAAACCAAAAAGGAAAAGCATAAGCATACTTAAATAATACAAAAAAAGAGACCAAAATCTACTACTCATCTTTATCTTCATCAACAACTTCAAAATTAGTGCCAATATTATGAGCTTTAAAGGTTTGATCATCAAAAGAAGAGGGTTTGGTTTCTTCCATATCCATAAGAAGACTATTAATCACGAATTTAAATAAGTCCATCTCAGACAAATCAAGGTCGGGATAAAGGCATAGGAACTGAGCCCTCGCTCTGTCAAAAGCAGTATCACCCGTGTCAAGAATATTGATTTAAGATTTTCGCAAGGAACTTTGCAAATGCTTAATCCAATCTTGAGCTAGGACGGATTGCCTATGGTTATTTTCGGTTCTTGTGCTGAAGCCTTTGATTTCTCCCTATTGGTTTTCTCCTCTGATAATTGTTTCTCTAAATCGAGAATTTTACCCACCCAGGATTTCTCTTTGTCCTTCAACTGATTGATCTCTTATTTAAGGCTAATATTGTTCTACTCACAATCATCCCTATCCTCAAATAATCCTCGAGTGAGGACATCACACCTCATTATATAAGAGCTAGTGTTTTGGGTCAGCTTTTGACGACCGATGGTTTTCACATTATTCACATCTTCTGCAATGTTTAGATGATCATAAAGAAATTTCAACCCATCAAAATTGTTACTCTAAAACATGATTTCATTTAATGATCTGGGTTGGTCGCCCTCACCAAGCTCACGCATCAAAGATGAAATTTCCCAATCAGCTCTATAAACCTCGTCACTCATCAAGGTCTTCATAGACTTTGGAGAGCCTAGATATGTATCGTTTTGTGGTGAAAGGGGGATAGCTTGAGGACCTGAGGCACTTGAAACTGTTATGCTTATAGCCAAATTCCTTTTCTTCAATACCCGAGTCTCCAAACAGGAAAATTCTGACTTGGTGACAACTTGGCCGATTACTCGCCTCGCCGCCCGAGCCTCCTACATCAACTTTTTTTGCTCTGTCACCGACAATTAGTCATTTTTCCTGCGGATAAGAGGACTAGAAGAATAAAAAGAGATAACCCAATAACGTAACATAAAGGAAAACAAAAATTACCCAGAAAAGAAAGGATTTAGTCTTCAGGTAACGACAATAGATCCCTGCCCTTCATCATACGAAAAGAATCTAATATAGATAGGGGTTTGATCTCTTAATCATTTAGATTGTTAAAGCTAAAACCGGACACTGAGAGCGGGCTTCCGTTCTAATAGATCGGGAAATAATGGATTCATCCAATGCATACATTACCTGAGAACATCTCGGGCCACACTTAATCTGAAGGAACAAATCTTTAAAACCTTTATAATTGGAAGTGTAGGCCTGGAGAAAACTCTTACCAGGAAGACCACTGATTGTCACCCAACCACCTTTCTCAACGCCTTTGATTTTCGAAAAAAGGAGGAAAAATAAACCTATGGTAGGTTCTATATTTATGGTCTTGCAAACTATTTCAAAGGCTTTTATAAACCCCCAACTATTTGGACGAAGCTGGGAGGGAGGAATATTCAGAACCTTTAACAAGTCAGATTCAAAGTCGGTAAAGGGAAGTCGAATCTTAAAATCTTCCAAAACCCTATCATAAAAAAGGAAATATTCCTCCTTAACCCTCTGGGACAAACTATACAAACGCGTTCCCTGGGGATACAAGGTTCCAAAATGACATCATCTTCATTTCCAGTGGAGGAAACATTTTTCAGAGAACGAAGTTTAGCGATCTCGAAGTAATTAATATAACTATGATTGTAAATCATTACTTTCGAGTCAAACGAGTCTGTAATCTCCATCAGCACCTCTATAGATGAGCTTAATGAAGAAGATTCAGAATCAAAATCACTGAAAGAAACAAAAATATTTCCATAAGCCTTTCTTACAATACGATTAAAATCAGTTTGGGTTAAAGTGTCTCTGCGACCTCTCACATAAAAATCCCAGAGATTTTTTATTTCTCGAATACTCAAGGTTCTCGGTATATTAGTATCATCATCACATGCATCAACAATAGCCATTTGAATAAAATAACACAGAACATAAAAATAAAAGCAAATATATTCAATATGGACAAAGAAATAAAAGCAAATATACCTGACGTACTTGTTTTTGTGATCCTAACCATATTTCAACCTGGGTATGATCATATGATCTATTTTCCTATTCGTACCCGGCTTTTTCACCAAATCGGCTTCAGGGAATTTCGGGATGTACATCTTGTAACTAATATTTCATAATTCATTTGTTACACTTGTTATTAATATTGTATCCGAACCATTTTCAGGGATGTATCATCTCTCACTTCCCTCGTATCACCAGGTGGGAAGTTGCATCTACCTACGATGATAATTGACCACATACAACCACATTTGTTTCGTACAAGAGGGATAGTGTGGTCGAGCCATTCAAAGTTTGTATTTACTGTATAGTATCAGACCGCGTTTGCTTCTGCCCATACGAGGGTCACCGCCAAACACGTCAGTTTGAAGTCATTTCCTTATACTCTGGATTGTTGGCATGTGGGTAATCTTTTATGTATCCTTATCTGCCCGACTGAGTGATGCGCCAATTTGGCTACTTGTAGATTATTTTAATACCTCCCTATGAGTCTTCTCCTCACGCCGTCCTCCACGGAGATCTTAGTGTGATACTGGATGATTTCAAGAGTCACTTGGTACTAGAGGAGTATCGTCGGGTGCCATCTCCTTTACATTGAGCTTATGCAGACGATCACATGACATGGTTATATAGGGTGTCACACCTTATCATGACACGAGACGCTCCTGAAATACCACCTAGACCAGCTAACTAGATGGTACTTAAGGCTCAGGATGACCACACCGAGAGTGTGATGGTGGAATATTGTCGTGTTGTAGAGATGAGTATAACAGACATAAAGTCATGACTCTTTGAGGACGCAAGTCCCTAGTTAGCCTTCGTGGAGAACATGGTTGTCGAGTTACGAAATATCGTGCAGTACAATCAGAGGAGGAGGAGACAGAAGTTCGAATATACATTAGCTTATGTTTGGATGTATTATTTTTTTGTATTTTCGGACAAATATTACGTACGGTGTTGCATTTATGAATTAATATATGACTTTTTACTTTCATTTATCTTTAGTTAAATTTGACTTTATGTCGATTTTACATTCATATAAATTTGCCTCAAAAAATTATAATGTTGGAATAATAGTATTGTTCTGAGGAACATCAATTACTACGTTTCTAATATCTATAAAAGGATTTCAATACATATTTCGAAGATGCATATCCAAAAACATTCAAATAATATATGAAAATGTATTTACGGACCATATTTTTATCAAAATAGAGTGAATCTTAAAATAACACATTTTGATATAATTTAAGGATATTCGATGATGCATCTCTAACCGTACAAGGGTAATTTTAAATTTTAAAGGGTGTGGAAGGTCACATTGAAGTTGGACTGAGCATCCTCTCAAAGAAAACGTAGGCCCACTAACTAAGTGACCAGCCCGCTTACCCAATCATTCGTAACCCGCCCAACCCAAACTCTCTTACCCCCAATCTTTGACAAGGCTCTCCATTCTCACGCAATAGTCGGCATCATAACATCTGATCACGCCACGTGCCACACTACACTCTCAACACCAACCAACCCAACTCCATGCAACTCGCCACGTATCCAAACCAAATTTCAACCCTTTCTCTCTTCTCTCTTCTCTCTCTTTCTCTCTCTCAATGTCTCTTCCACAACTACCAAACCATCACAGTTCCTTTCCAAACAATGGTGAAGCTAGCTTCAGCAAGAGACTTTCGCACATACGGTCCAGGACTCACCAGAAACCGCTACGAATACATTAACGCAGGCCTTTATCTCTTTGCCACCGTCATTCTTTGCTCCGGCTTCGCAGCACAGCTTTCTCTCGAAGCCCGTTCCGGCCTCGTACTTCTTCTTACTGCTCTCACCATTATTCTCGCTGCTAATATTCACGATATACTCGCTCACTTCGCTGGCATTGATTTCCAATTAGCTCTAATTTCCTTCGATCTTCAACTCTTCTTCGTTGAATTCGCAGCTCCCTTTGTTCAGATCATCGGAACATTTCTTCTCTTTCTTGGAGTTCTTCTCATTTTCATTGAGGTATAACATAATTGAAAAGCCCTAGCCTATTTATTATATTGGAATATATCTTTCGCTATAGGTGTACACTGACATGTGTAATTACTGACATAGCGGTGTTAGTGTCATCTGGGGAGTTTTTTAACTTTGAAAATTCGAAATGGTTATTTAGTGAAATTAGTGTGTTTTTTTACTTTAAACATTTGTTGTGGTTTTTCACAGTGAAATTAGTGTGTTTTTCACTTTTGACTTTTGGTATGGTTTTTAGAGAGAAGTTAGTGAGTTTTTTGACTTTAAGATTTTGTATGGTTTTTATTGTGAAATTGGTGAGTTTTTTAAGTACGTAATTTTGTTATGATTTTTATAGTGAAATGGTTGAATTATTGGCTTGGAGCATTAGATATAGTTTTTATAGTAAAATTGGATGTTTTTTTCACTTGAAACTTTTGTAATGGCCATTATAGTGAAATTGAAGGATTATGATTATTTTTTTTTAATTTGTTGATGATAATTATATGTGTGACAGGAAGAGAACGGACATGGTTTTCTGAAAATGGAAAAGCAAGTGGTGAACATGCTAGTAGCTGGACCTGTATTATGGGTAGTAGGATCTATTCATAATTCGTGTCAAATTTACGAGAGAGCAGATGGTCATGTTCAAATCTTGCAGCAGTTTGTATATGTCCCTTTTCTGATGGGGAGTTTATCATTCATGCTTGGTGCAATTCTTAATTATCATGAACAATATAAAGAGATTCACCATGGCATCTACTTGCTTGTAAGTACTACTCTCTATCTACACTTGTAATAATTAAATTATTGTTGTTGGGATTAGTACGTGATTAGTGAAGTAATTAATGCATGTGTTGATGATTATTGATATAGGGTGGGACATGGATTTGGCTAGGAATATTTGGGAGCTTAATGTTCTTTATTGGTGGATTGACAAACTTAGTGAAAGTATTCAAAATGCAACAAATGAATGGAATAAGATTGGAGAAACTGCGAGGTGGGGCACAAGAGAGGCTGGTAAATGCAAGAGAAGGAAGGGTACCACTGATTTTGGAGCAGCATCAACCTATAATAATTAACCGTCAATTGCCCGAAGAGACAAAAGTTGATATGCATAACCCAATTCCTACTCCTTATAAGGATGTTCTTATTGGTTTGACTAAATCATGATAAGCTCTGTGTGTAATTTGTTGTCATCTTGTCTTATTACTAAGATACTTTCTGTTTTTATATGCAGTACATGTATGTAGATGTTAAAGAGGTGATGAATGTTGTAAACGTGATAAGAGAATTTCTAATCCTAATTACAACATGAACAAATCATTAATAGGGATGATAGAAATTAAAAGCTTTGGATTATTTGGATAAGTAGAGATTATAATGGTTCTTTTACTTTAAAGGCTCTTGAGTATGTGCTGATAGAATATATCAGATCAAAGATAGCAATCCCAAAATTTGATACACTGCTAAACAAAATTGCAGAATGCAAAATGCCACTCAAAAATATTATAAATGTGGTGTTAAATACAACACTAGTTTAGTTAATAAAAATATTATAAATGAGTATAGGGGTTTTTTCAGAGATGATTTTTTGAACATGTCAAATCGAGAAATTGGATAAAATACAATTGTATATTTTTGTCTTTCATGATCAAAGAGAGCTTCTCTTTGAAATCTTTGAAATCAATTCTTCCGGTCTCAATCAACTTTTTAACACTAAAACCAAGAAGTTGGAATTTAAGGTGAAATTCATTCATTTTATCCATTTCCTAGCATTAAAATCATAACAAAGTTTCTATTTTTCTATTAATGGTGGTATTAGATATTATGCATTCGAATATGTTTTTCAAAGCTATTGTGATGATGGATGTTAAATCGGGTAAAGCGAAGCATGATGTTAAATGAAGTGAATGATGATTTAAACAAGATGATGTTAAACCAATTTGTTCAGGAAGATGTTTGTGAACAATTTACAAATTAACAAAAGTTTATTATTTGTGAACATATGCTACAATAGGTCTGTATGGAGGCTAAGAAATTGAGATTCGACGTTGTAATTAGAAGGTCAGACAATGGTTCTGGTAGAAGACAAACATTTGTAATAATGAGATGCGAAAGAAGAAGCATGTACCATCCACCGATTAGAAAGTTAAAATGTGATGACATTGAATCGAGAAAATGTGAGTGTCTGTTTAAGTTGTGTAGATACCTTAAGGTGAATTATTCATGAATTTTAATGTGGGTTCTGGTACACTTAATCATGTCTTGAGTGACAAGTTTATCGTCATCCCATTGTATGCCGCATTATTCCGGAGGAGAAGAAACTTGTTTTGTACGTGACATTAAACATGGTGGCATCGAAAAAACATACTACCTACTTTGAAACGGAAAAGATCTAAAAATATTTCTAGTATCAAACAAGTATACAATGTACGTACCCGAAACAACAATGCGGTAAGCGGTCTAAGATCTAAAATGCAATAACTGTTGAAGCTTTTTGAGGATGGCGACTATGTTTCTAGGTACAAAGTTTGTGAGGATAATGTCACAGTTTGAGATATATTTCTGACTAATTCCGATTCCATCAAGTTGTTCAACACATTTTTCACCGTACTCAAATTGATTCAACATACAAAACAAACAAGTATAGACTTTTACTCCTAAAACTGATGGTGTTACTTCTACGGAGATGATTTTTTCAGTCGATTTTGCAATTTTGGAATTCGAAAAAAGAAAACAATGTTACCTGGTGTGCAAGCTTATGTTGAAGGACCAAGAAAACAAGAAAAAAAAACCAATTATAATTGTCACCTATCACCACATTGCATTGATAAATTCGGTTCCAACAGTGCTTTCTATATCATATGCATTACTTTGTAATTACCGCATAAATGTGAGAAGTTGACTAAAACGTACGATGGGCACCAAACAAATCAATTGTGAAGATGGAAAATGGTCAAACCTGACGTAGTGTTGAAAAAGATAATGGATGCCTGAAATAGTATAATAAATTCTTCTACATAAGAGATATATGCTGAATTTGTAATGCATTTTAGGAAGGTGTGTGTGAGATATTCAGATTTCCTGAAATATGTTGAGAGTACTATTTTGGACCAGGTGAATGAGAAGATTGTTTATGCCTAGACCGACCAGGTTAGACACATTGGCAATACAATAACTAACAGAGTTGAATATGCACATGTTACACTAGAGAATTGGTCGAGAAATAGTAAATGTGATTTTTTTAGATTGGGAAGCCATGTATCAAATGCTCTAAGACCAACCTAATGAGATACATACATATTATAGTTTGAGCATTACTGTGTTAGAACACTGATTTAAATACAACATCATTTATTTATAGTTGGTTGGCAACATATCTCGAATGGTATTGAATTTTATTTTTTACAAAGCTAGGTGAGCAGATAAAATAGGTTCAGATAAAGCAAAGTGTGGATGTAGACTTAGGAAAACATACAGTCTTCCATGTGTTTATTTAATTTCAAAGAAGATGAAGCTTGATAAACCAATACGTATGGATGATGTTTACACTCACTAAAAAAAGGTTTCGGTTTGATGATGATGGTGATGAAGTATGATAAATCAAGTATAACTATTTTGACCGAATGAGAAGTAATACAAGAGATATTTTTGAAAGCTTATGACATCATGAAATTGCACATCAATGAGCAGTTGAGAAAGATTACATATCCAGAAACAAAGGATTTTAGACGACCGTCTGAACTGGTTAGAACAAAGGGTGCCCCTAATAAGGTCAAACAGACACACAATGATGGCTCTAAAAGACAATCTATTTCATACTTTGAACATGTTAACTCGCATTTTTATGGATTCTCCAACTCCAAAATCTCAACAAAAAAAGTGTTTTAAAGGGTGCTCGCATTAGCAAACCATCTCCTCCACCACCGTTACCAAAAATCATACACATTGAAGAGATACCGCTTTTTATGCACAAATATATTGAGCATATTATAGATGTTGAAGGTGACAGCAATTGTGGTTTTCAAGTTGTTTCAAATTTACTCGGTAAAGGAAAAGATAACCACCAATTTGTCTGCTGTTAGCTTATACAAGAGATGACAATGCATAGAGAATCACACTCGCTATACAGGGAAAAAGAAAATTGTGATGCAACTCTCAATGCTCTTGTTCCTTATGTTAGTCATCAGGTACCGTATGCAAAATGGATGTGCTTCCCTAAAATTGGGCATCTTATAAAAAGTGCTTATGATAGGGTGTGTATTGATCTGACAAGATACTGTTTCTCGGAAATATTTTTACCACTTCATAGTAGGTCGACTCAAAATCCATCTGGACGCATCATGTGCATTAGGTGTCTTTCAAAAACACAACATTTTGTTCAAGTTTATTTGAAACTGAAATGTCTTATACAAAAGATATCACTAGAGTGGATGGAACATTTCACTTAAAATGCTACAACTTGGTATGCTCACTTTCTGAAAAGGATGGAATAGTTCACAAAGTTTAGCAACATTGAAAGAGAATCAAATAAGGAACCACTAATAGATTTAGATTGTGACACATGTTTTGATAAATTTTAGTTTTAATCTAACAATGTAACTCGTTTTTTGTATGTAATGTTGTCAATGATGTAATCTCAATATAATTTGTGATATGTGTAGTGTCCATTATAATTTGATGTTATAGAATATCAAGATAAATTTTGGACAACTTTTCTGTTTTTAAATTCTTCGCCGCATATTTATATCGGTTATGTATGAACATTGTTCTTGGTGAATTGGAATATGCATCTTCGAATACACCCCATTTTAATTGTAAAAAAACAAAGCATATGACTTTATGGATGTGTATCTCCGTAAACACCCTTCTTTTGTAAAAAATATGGTGTGCCCGGATATGTATATCTGAAATATGTCATGATGAATAAATATGGTTTTTAAGGTCCAAACTAATCTAAACCTTTTATAAATAGGGTCTTTCATTCTGTTTTATTTACAAAAAGCATAATTAATACATATCTTCATCTTGCATTTGTGTATTTTCAATTGGGTACTGACCTAAAACAGTGGCATTGGTATGAATATAGGTAATCATGGGAAAGTATACAAGAAAAGCATGCAAAACAGGCCCAAAACAGCAAGATATTGGCAAAATATGTCAGGTATAATCGATTAATAGAATAGCTGTTAATTGATTACACCATGCAGAAAGTGGATTCTAAGGCGTAGGCAAGGGTGTAATTGATTACACCAAAAGTGTTAACCGATTACACCTGCAAAAACATCAGAAATAGATTTTTGAAAAGCACTTTTCGAAATCCCTTATCGCATGCAATTACAGTGGAATATAACATGGAAATAGATGCAAAATTCATGTTAATTCAGAGAAATCAAGAGCTAATAGAATCAAACATGCAAAACAATCATTCATGTAGCGAAAACGTCAATTAAGCACTACACTGCGAAAGTGCAAAATCAATCGAAAGTGATAATTAAGCAAGAATCACCAACCTACAAGGCTGAGATTTGCCTTGGTAATTGTTGTGATCAAAATGTGATGAATACAAGCTTAGAAAACCAGAAAATCCAGAGATCTCTATCAATCTGTAGTGAGAAAAAACCAAAGATAATACGATAATTGCTTCGGATCCGAATTCGCACCAAAACTCCTTTAATGATCAACTTCCAAAGTTTAAATTGAAGTAAATGCTGTTGTTGTAGCATAATTCAGAGATGAGAATGAAGATGAATTGTGGTATAACTCAAAGAATATCAAGCTTCAATGCAAAGCTTGCTAAGCTTTAATGGTGGAAGAGATTTTGTGAGGTTTAGGGAAGAAAGTGGTGATGATTAAGAGAGAAAGTTGCCGAAAATTCAGAGAATGGAGAGTGAAAATTCAGAGCAAAAATAAGAGAATGAGGATTATGGCCAAAATTCAAAAGTGAAGTCATTTGCATCAATGTGAGGGTTTGCTTATATAGAGCATATGCTTGGAGTGAGTGGAGGCTTGGAATTAGGTATGAAGGTAGTTAAATGAGGTTTGGAATTTGGTTTGGAGTTAGTTAGATCTAACTCACTGAGTTGGGGTCCAACTCGGTTAGTTATTGGTTAACTCGGTTGGAGAATCTCAATGTAACTCAACGATCAACTGGTCCAAATGATTGGAAA